GCATGTCCCAAAGCAATTGTGATTGGTGCTGGGCTTTGCCAGATACCCAGCACCAATCACAGTGTAACTGACTGGGAAATCATTTTTCATTTACAATTACAGGAACATTTTCCTGTAATACTGAAAATGCCAGTAGATGGTGGCAACATACCACTCTCTACTATTTAAACTAGGAAACCCATCTGCTGATGTCGGTACTGATATTAAGAAAGGGTTATTTTAGAGGTAGGGCTAGGGTTACATTTAGGCATAGGATTGAGTAAGTGTTGGCTGCAGTGTTAAAGGGACACTGTCGGCACCATAACAATTACAGCTTAATGTAGTTGTTCTGGTGTCTACAGCCTGTCCCTGCAGGCTTATTAATGTAAACACTGCCTTTTCTGCCTGGGTGCAGCACTGATGTTCAGCTCTGACATCCATGCTCTGCATGGAGACTCTGAACACTCCTCGTAGAGATGTTCAGTGATTCAATGCATCTCTATGAGGAGCTGCTGATTGATGCAGCATGGAGTTTTGCCGTGCATGCGCAATATTTCCCATAGGAAATAGCCAATAGCTGCTTCCTAGTCGCCTTGAGTACTATTAGCACCGTAGCCCCTTAGCCAATGCAGCTTGCCTGGGGTCTCGCCGTCTCTTCCCATCCTGGACCAACCTCTTGGATCCAGCTCCCAGTGGGAAGGCCTCTCCTCCAAGAGAGTATAGCAGGTCTAGCTGTTCCCTACAATCACAAGACGAGGCTGCGTGTTTAGGGTGAAGTGAACTGGCTTTAATGGGACCACACTTGGCCTTTTATGCAAGTCCCCATGCAAGGGGTATTTCCACATGGACCTTGTGTGGAACTACAGTATAAAGTCACAGACCAATGACAACAGTGTTTAAATGCATAACATTCCCATATACAAACATACAATCCCTCCCTGGGAGATAATTGAGTCAGATACTGTATTAACTCAATTATCTCTAGGCAGAAAAAAACCCATAATTTTATTAAAAAAAAACAAATTCATGGAAACCCTATGAAGGTTATATCCCCTGATAGCCCCAATCTGGATGAACAACATATCTAAAAATCACCCAGATCGGTTCAGGGGTTCGGGATTTCCGCGGAGGTCTTAACAATATGCAGGAACACCGATATCCACTAATTTCTTAAAAGTATATATTTTATTTATATTAGTTAAAACGAAAAAATTTAGAAATAAACACAAAAATAATAAATAATACTTGTCTAATTCCAATATCCATCCCTATATGTGTTTCACCAGTGGGTCTGGCTTCCTCAGTCCAGTAAGTTTTGAGTGTGCCATTGAATAGGCTCCACACTTGTGAGTTTAATATTTTTACAAACATAAGAATACCCAGGACTGGATAACTCCAGACTCGAGAGACCTATATACACTCACAACTACACCCCTCTCCTGAAAACACTAATAGTAAACCTAGCAAGGTGGTCATACCCACACATCTCATGGCATGGCCGCATAGCGGTCCTCAAAATGAATATCCTACCACGACTCCTCTACCCCTTCCAGACGCTTCCGATCGCCATACCAACCGCATTCTTTGCCAAACTGAAATCAGCAGTCTTGCAATATGTATGGAGAGATGAGCGCTCAAGACTCAAACACGAAACACTTTGCTTACCCAGACATTACAGAGGCTTAGCCCTACCTGACTTTAAAAAATGCTACCAAGCCACAGTCCTGCAACGTATACTAGATTGGCACACGAACGCCAGGCAGAAACAATGGGTAGCCCTCAACACCGAAGGGAACAGTGCGGCCTTGCACTCCATCATATGTGACACAGGGAGGCACAAGGAGCGACACAAGGGGACGACATAGGTCCAGTAGCACAGACGCTACACTGCTGGAGACCAATTAGAGAACAAAAGCACATATCACCAACACCCAGCCCTCTACTACCGATCACCTATAACCACAAAATAGGGGGAGGATTCTCCACAGGAGCATGGCCACTCTCGGAAGGCCGGGGACATATACCCATACACACAGCCCTCCAGAATGGGATGATACGACCCCTGGAATCGCTACTAGATGGCAAACCATGCACCCCGCAGATGATACTCCGATACCTACAACTAAAACATTTCTACGATACGCTTCTCAATAGAGACCGATTACACCGAGACCTCACGTGGTTCGAGGAATGCTGCGAAAAGGCCACCACACTAGACAAGACGATTTCCTCACTTGACCAATACCTTTTAACCGGACATCTAACAGAACACGACACGTTCCGCAGAACATGGGAGACACTCCTTGCTAAATGGGACAAAGCCTTACTATGGCATCAAAAGAGCACTATCAGCTCACAATTCCAGGAAACAAATTACAAGCTATTGGCAACTTGGTATAGAACCCCATCCCTTCTCCACAAGATATTCCCAGCAATATCACCAATGTGTTGGAGATGCCTAACTGAACGGGGCACCATGATACACATCTGGTGGGAATGTAGTGCAATCACCCACTACTGGGAAATGATTAGACATAACATACAGGAGATCCTAGGCGAACTGAACAAATGGACAGCCGAACTGGCCCTACTCCACATATCATCAATGTCGATCACCTGGTATAAAAGATCGATCTTAAGACACCTATTGAACGCAGCTAAAGTGCTCATACCAGTATACTGGAAAAAAACAGAAATACCCCGAAGAGAAGAATGGATAAACAGAGTGGAGGAAATACAGGGAGCAGAGGCGATGCATGCATCCCTCCTGGGTAGGGCCAGCAAACACGCGGAGACCTGGATACCATGGTTCATGTTCATCTCTGGGGGCCTCTAGGAAGGTAGCTTGCAAGAGAGGGAGGCACCTGCGTGGGTGCCGGCGCTCTGGACCGTGCCACGGGCTCTCAACATCACGACCATATATGGCGAGACACCACCACCCACCCCCTCTCCCTCCACCACCCTCATTCCTTCTTCCTCCCCGTTTTCTGACCCACTCTTCTTACTTCTCTCATCTGTATCCTAAATGACAAAACAGAAGAACCTTAGGCTACACATAGACACACGAACGTAGGCCCATGACCGCGCACACCTCAAGACACGAACGATGAAATAATTGCACGGTATTTCAGAGGCCAGGCATAAACATACTGTCACATATTCATCCGCTTATAGAAATGTGGTTAATGACATTTACTGTCCACACAGGAAAAGTTGTGCCGAGCAGCAACCTAATCCACAGAAGGGTTAATGCTGAGCAGTAATTGTGCAAATGAAACCTGGTGTCATGTATTCATCCGCTTAGAGAAAAGTGATTAATGACATTTACTGTCCACACAGGAAAAGTTGTGCCGAGCAGCAACCTAATCCACAGAAGGGTTAATGCTGAGCAGCAATTATGCAAATGAAACCTGGTAACTGACTTTGGGGTCAAAGGCCGGTTACAGCCTATCAGAACTAAAGGAGGGGTATTTAGGCCCAGTTCTCAGCCTGCTCAGTGCCCTGTCGTGGTTTCCCTTGTGGTTGTCTGAGAGCGCGTTCCTGTTTATAGTTTTCTACCTGGTTTTTGACTTTGGCTTTGTTTATTGACTTCTCTATATTCTGGTATCCTGACTCCTGGCTTTCCTCATCGCTGTGTCCCTTTCTGTGTTCCCTGACCTTGGCTAGTATTTTTGACTATTCTTTGTACGTTAAATCCGGCCATTCTAAGGACCGGTAATACGTTACTTATTTGTCATCCGTGCTGTACAGTTCTACGTGCTGGATCAAACAGTAATCCTGACACATACACACTGAGATTGAAGATACACCTTACGCTACCACAAAACATGCTCAGGAAGACGCATCAGTCACCGAGAGCACGTAATAGCCTTGCCCAACAAAACCCCGCTAAAACAACGACACAAAGACCCCAAGTATAGCAAAAACCAAAACATGGGGTGGTAGACGAGCTGAGAGGCGGGACATGTTAAATTGACAACTGATAGACACTGCTCACCAACAGCTACAAGGACACATGAAGATAGACAGTAAAATAATGAAAGGCAGGGAACCTGCTCCCCCTAGAGGTGCTGTAACCAGCCTAACTAACGGACACCAACATGTCCATCTACGAATAATACATCACAAAGTCCACACTAGACACCCAACAACTACAATAACAAATTTTGAGACGACGAAAACGTCCTAGGCATGCAACAATAAACACCTGTGATAATCGCACTACCTGTAGAATGATATATATATTTGTAATCCAATACAGGACCTGCACGTCCACAAAGCTATGTATACGTGTACCTACTACTGTTCAAACTTTTTACACAATAAAAGATTTAAAAAAAAAAAAAAAAAGAATACCCAGGACAAGAAGTTCCTATGCTGCATCCAAGAAAGAGTAGTGTTTTTTAAAAATGTTTTTGGAGTGTCACTAAACAGCACATCCTTACACCTTTTTTATGGTAAGGGATTATGTACTATAAACACTGCATGGCACTTTATGTTTTGCACTGCACTGCACCTTGTTCCTAAAGTTGTTTTAGTGACTATATAGTATCACTTTAAGCTAAAAAATTTATAGCAATTTTCAAATTATAGGCTGAAATAGCCAAAATAAAACACGGTCTTGTACACGTTTTCGGTTTTCACTTTTAATTACCTACAAACCATACCACTTTAAGGAATCCCTGTCTTGTGACTGTGTTTCAAACAATTGGTAAAACTTACTTTACATTTTGCTTGGGTTCCATTTTTCCTTTTCTTCTTATTTTATGCAAGTCAATAAAGTGTGTGTATGTATAACATACTTTACATATAAGGCTACACTATATGGCAAATAAAGGCATCCATACCCCATGCATTACCTACTATGAAGACACAAACTGGGCAATTTTTTTGTATTTATTCATTTTTTTTAGTAACAGGAATCCAATTAGGATTTAAGGGTATCTGATTTTAATATCAGCACTGCATAAAAAAAAAAGAAACATTTCACACGTGGTTTTACTTTAAGCATCATTTTAATTTTAAACGGTGGTGGACCCTGAACCATCGCCAGGCGTCCACTTGATTGCTGAACGCTTCCGCCGTTGCCTGCGCGAAGGATCCTCCTTCCAGCACGTGCACGCACGCACGCAGAGCGCATGACGTAACGCAGGGGAGGGCGTCATACCGTCCTGTCGTAAAAATATTAGCGACGGAGATACCGTTATCATCACTACAGATTGCGCCATTGTGTTATATATATATATTTTACCGTACGGCAAGTCTGATGATTAAGAACAAGAGGTCCCTGGACCGGTAAGGCTGTATTACATTATATCTGACTCCATGGTCAGAATGGGATGTGGATATAGGAATCTGGTGCCACTAACTAATACAGAGTGTACCAAGGAGGACACAGGCTCACTCATGGTGTATGTAAGGGACAGGCTGAGAGATGGAGGGGGAGTGATGGTGGTGTAGTTGGAGTGTGTCTGCTCCACTTCCCATCACTGTGTGTCTGCTCCACGTCCCATCACTGTGTGTCTTACTTGTGTTTGGCTGTGATATATGTTTTGAAATGCGTTTTATTACTTACAGAAGAATGGTGTTGGGGGTGAAAGAGGGGGAATATTACTTTTATAAACGAGTGAGCCTCTGATGCAGTGTCTCTCATTGTGTTAGTGATGTGGCAGGCTCTCAACCTTTAACCAGAACATCTTATGGAGAGATACTGCAGGACTCCGCTGCATATTTTGTGAAGAACCCACTTTTTTATCGTTTTGCCTATAGTTTGAAGTTGTTATGGTGCCATAATTTCATTAATGACGCCTTATCTTTTTTGGGTTAAACCATTAACAAATCGTTGAGTCTCCAAATGTTGAGTCTGGCGAGGGTTAGCTCTGTTCTTCTCTTACTTCATTTGTCCCAAATTTTAATCCTCATGGCTTGGACTGGCTTCCTATTAGTAGCTTGCCATTCAGAAAATGGGCTGAGAAAAATATGTACGTTTCTCAAGCCATTTAAACTATTGACTGGCTTAGAGCGTCATCTAATGCTCTCAGCCAATCAGCGATTGATAGTTAAGTTTGACCCATGAGAGTAAGCCAGCATCAATGACCCACTGACAATAGACAACTTTATTCCAATAGGATTTCCACCTATGTTTGGCTGATATAAGTGAAATATTACAAAGCTCACATTGAGGTTTCAAAGCTGTACTGCCGTGGTTTCCAAACTCACTTAGGGGGCATGTAATGACACAGAGCACATACTCCATGGGGGTCCCACAGGCCTGGTAGACTGGGTGTGTGAGCCCAAGACACTGCTGTCGGGCTGAGTTGCTTCCTTTTTTCTCTTCAGTGGCAGTCACGCAAAAGGGAAGTGACTGCCGCTGAAGAGAAGATACCCTAGAAAAAACAAGTGTTAATGAGAATCCATCAACCTCTGTAGCTTCCCTTTGTGGGCTTGCTCCAAGTACTTCAATAAAACCATGTCCTCTTCTACAGCCGCACTCTCCCCATCACTGCCTGGAGGTCCTCTGTAATTAAGGCAAGATCTGCCTGGAATAATAATTTTACATCACCAAGAAGTTCCACAGTATTTCCTTTAATGCAATGAGTGTTACGACCGCTGGCTCTGATGACTGGGGCTAGAACTCTCCATTGTTGGAGGATCTGTTACAGGACTCCAACATAGCAGCCATCTTGGGTGTCTGTGGCCTAATTAATAGATCAGATATTGTGGATAATTATGCCATGAGAGAATTTGTGCTTCTTAGAATACTTCCCCACATTTAGTGTAGTGTATCTGTCGACCAGCACTGCTATGGATTTCCTGAAAAGAACATTTGTGTATTTTATTTCCCTTCACTGCACTAATCACCCAATTTAACACTTCAGTTGGATTTATTGGGATGAAGGAATGAGCACTTCTCCCTGTTATAGAATTGACAGTTAAACTTTAAGATACACATTGTTTTTATTAAAGGAACACTTCAAGTGCTATATCCACTACCGAGTGTTATAGTAGTTATGGTGCTTGGAGTGCTTTGATGCCCTTCATTGTAAATTGCAACTCATTGTTTTTAGAACAGTTTGAATTCTTACTTTGGGTCTGCTGGTATATGGCTTAACTCATTCACTAGGAGTGATAAGCTGATGTTTCATCCAGTGAGTTAGCGCTGCAGTACATGGCTCAAGAGAGCTAATGGAAGCTCTTACATAGGAGCTTCGGGCTCTTTGGCAGAAGTAGTGCAAAACAAATGGGGAGTGGTGCCCAGCGGAACACAGGTAATATTGCAAACCATTGAACACAGGGTTTTTATTTTAATGTGTGTGTATATATAATCTCTAATCTTGCCCTTTAGATGGTGAAATGGCACCTGGACTACAACTTAGCTATGGAAACCCACGCCTTATGCGCACAATGTTTTTTCAGCTACAGCAGCAACAAATGGCAGGCCTGTTCTGTGATATAACGTTGAAGGGTGATGGTGAGTATACAAGGTATGATTGCTTATAAGCAAAATACTACAAATATGTTTGTTGATTAGTCATGTACAATCACAAAAAAATATTTTGCTCACTGATCATCTTTTTAGTGCATTCCCTAAAGTAGACTGAGTGCTCAAAGCTGAACTGCCACTTCTTTGGGGTTCTTGCATATTTTGCAAGTACCCTAGGAGGTGACATCACTGCTTGTTGTGGGGAAGCCTGGGGGTACAGTGCACATGAGATACTTGCCTGATTCTGTCCCTCATAAGTGTCGCCATGATGTTTCTTTAGTTCCTTGAAGCTTCAGGAGACCATGTCAGTATGGTACTCTTGCACATGTCTATTGAGGGTCATTGAAGTTTGCAGTAGCCTACATAGATGTTGTCTTGCGATCAGTGCCTTATTTCCACATCTGTCACTAGCTGGGGGATTTGACGGTCGTAGGTCTGGCTTTTGTCAAGCTTAGGAAAAATGAATTAGACAAAGTAGTCCCTAGTAGGCCGCCTTAAATAGAGGGGGGAAATTCCTATTAGCTGTAAGAATGTAAGTTTTTAAAACAGTAGGAAACAAATCATTTAAAATAAAAGAGCAGTACTTGCACTTTTGTTGGTGGTGTGTGCAGAGGAGGTTGAGAGGCCAAATTGTGTTTAAAAACAAGGAAACCGATAGCAACCTACTGAAAACTTTTGTGGGTGTACTTGGAAACACTCCATAGCCGTCAAGTGGTCATTGAAACGGAAGTGAGAGCTTTTTTCTTTTTTTTTTTTTTTCTTTTTTTAAATTAAATTAACTTTTATGTGGCAGATGGCTAGCAAACGCTGTTCAGCCACCCCAACCCTTGCGCTGCTGGGGGTTTAACTGCCAGCGAACGAACCATTTATTTTTATTTTTTTTAATTAATCTGTCCTCGAAGTTGAATTCTCCAAGCCTGAATTTGATGCGTTCTGTCTGGATTTCAGCCGTTCATCAACATTCATCTAGGCCGAAATCCTGACCAAATTCAGGCCTGTTTTGCAGTCTGAATGGCCCCATATGCAGCCTGATGGTTTTGTTCTATTTGGCTCAGGGCCATTTGGACTTTAGTGAATTACCATGATAGTTACATTGTAATCTAGGTTGAAAAATGCAGAAAACCCCAATTTCAAGCGATGGCCTATTACGCCACAAAAAGGGGGAGGGGGATTTTCCATAGTTATAATCAGATCAACAACCCACATACACTTGTAATGACATCCTTGACTATACAGATTTTCAAAAACATCAAGGCCTTTTAAAAAAAAATTGCAAAGAATTTGATTAGACTACCTCTCTGGGTAGAGAATTCTATATATTTATTGTTATTCCTGCAAATAACTTTTTTCCTGTATCCATTGAGAATGGCACTTTTCCTGTAAGCAAAAATGTAATTCTCAGTCAATAACCCTTTTTGTTTGTATATTCCTCCTGACAAATAGGTTGACACATAATGGTTTATACTGACCATGTGCATATTTGTATAGTGCTGTCAATAACCCTTATTATATGCTTTTTTGTTTCTAAAGGGAAAAAAATAAGTTTTTCTACCACTCATTGTGTTTTTCTGTCTTCTGAATACGGTCATACCATAAAAAAAGTAATTAAACAATACACCATGAATAAGACATATTACATACAAAATAGTTCAACCGCCTATATTATTATTTTTGGCAGCTATTAAGTCTATTCTAATACTATAATTCTTTGGTCATAGTTGGAAACTCTACATGGAGTAATCTTACTTTTGGTCTATTTGCTCAATATCTGTTAAATCTTTTATTATATTTACAAGATCTCTCCAAAGGAGGGACGATTGTTGGTCAGTTCCTTCACATATGCATTTCCATTTACCGTATTTATTCGAGTATAACGCGCAAAATTTTCTACCAAAAAAAGAAATCAAAGTTTGGGTGCGCGTTATAAACGAGGGCTGGGGTGCGGTGGCAGTGGCGGCCGGTCCATTGAGGGCGCAGGCGAATTGTGAGTTCACAGGTCTCTGTGCAGCAGTTCCTCTGCTAGAATAATATTAGTATCTTATATTAGAGATGGCAGTTAAGCGACAGAAAATCTATTGAAACATCAAGGTAGTGAGATCCCCAGGCAGAACAGCTGCACGTGCCCACTCCCTTCCCCAGATTGGCATTCTTGGCACAGGCAGTGGATGGCAGGGCTCTACTAACAGGTGATTTCCAGCTGTTTGGGAGGAGGAGACCGTGGAGTGTGTGAATTGTGTCTGAGGTTTCTTAGATAGAATGGGAACAACTCTTTAGTGTATCTGATGATGAATCTGTCTTTGAAGCATTTTAAATAAATATGGTTACCGGTAATTTTATTTCGGTATTGTGTTTATACCAGTTTATGTTGTCAATAAATGATTTTTGTCATGGCCGCACGTGTTCAACAACGTTTTTTTGTTAATTACAATGTTTGGTGTGAAACAAAATTTTATACCGATTTTTAATCGAAAATTAGAGGTGCGCGTTATACACGTGTGCGCGTTATACTCGAATAAATACGGTATATTTCCACATCTCCATACCTAGTGAGTACTGTGTACCAAATACCATCTATTCATTATCTTGAATTGTAAATTTAGACAGTGGATGGCTTTATATGTCCCTTTTAAGGCTTTATGCACATCTTTCAGATCTATCTTTTGATTCAACTCCTGTTCCCATCTTGTAAGGGCCTTTGGAGAATAGGGACCTGACAAAGTGAAAATATTTTGAAGTAAGTTTTAT